AGGCGGCGGGGGGGGGGGGGCTTTTCTTCCTTTTCCTGCCACAGCAGGGAAGGGAAACTGGCGGGGATCCTCTTTCCCCTCAGCCACCCCATCCATGTCCTTTGCTTCCCAGCCAGCCCCGTTCCTGGAAACCCCTGGGGAGCCTAGCCAAAAGGAGCCCCCTTCCTCCCCGGGAAATGGCAGCCCCGCGTGTGCTCGAGGGCCCTGTGAGTGGGCGGCCGTGTTGCTGCAGGGCTCAGCCTCCAGAGCCTCCAGCAGTGATTTTTAACCGTGTCTCCATGAGCCTGGGGCCCCGAGGGAGCTGCTGTCCTCCCCGGGCAAGCCAGCTGCTCAGGGGAGAGGAGGGGGGGACAGACAGACAGCCAGACAGAGCCCAATTAAACCCTCCCCTGGCCAGCCCCTGACACTCCCTCCTGCATTTTCCAGTCTGTGGTTAGAGCATTCAAAGGGTTCCATTAAGTCATCAAGTTTTACAGGTTCCTTTAAAAAAAAAAAAAAAGAGGGGGAGAGAGCGAGCGAGAGAGAAAAGTTTGGTCATGGTAGGGAATGAGTGATCAAAGCTGAGCCAAAGCTTCCTGTTACACCGGGACTATATATATATCGTGTCTTTAATGTTGGGGGATGTAAGCAGGCTGCTAGGAGACTGGAGCGGGAGCTGACTCTCTGCCTGATTTCCCAGCTCGCTGAGGTTTCTTCCACCGACCACAATGAACAAGTTCCTGTGCTGCACGCTTGTGGTAAGTCCCTTCAGAGAGGTAGATAGGCTTTAAGATGCATTACAGCTTCAGAGATCAGGCTGTAAAGACATACAGTTTTTCTTCGGGTTTTTGTTTGTTTGTTTGTTTTTGGTTGGTTTTTTTTTTTTGCCTCTCTCCATTTTCTTGGTAAATCCGTTTCGTTTCATCACGCTGAGCTTTCCTGGTGAGGTTTGGAGTGCGACGGACATGTCCAGCTCCAGGGAGGCAGCAGGGATTTTCATCCCATTCTTAAGGTAGTGGCATGATCTGCTTTTCTTTTGCATTTTTTCCTATCTTCCTCTCTCCTTTTGTAAGGCTTCATCATACCGGGCTGACACAAAACACTGTATCTAGGAATGAATTTAGAAACTGTAGGCTGGGATGTTTGGTTTTGATTTACAAAAGCTCCATCCCTGCCTGCCTCTGTAATCGTTGCTACAGTGGCACTGGTCAGTATCTCAGATATTGGGCTGGCTCTCTTTCCCGGGAAAACCACTGTGAACTCCAAAAAAAGTACAAGCGTGTGGTGCTTGTTTTGGCTTAGAAAACTCAGCTTCATGTGCAAGAAAGTGATGGATTAGTAGCTGTGTCAGTAGCTATTACAGAAAAAGTTGTGTTATTAAATCTGGTATAAGCCCCTGCTTTAATAAGTTTTTGTTTACTTGGTGATTTAGCAAGTTACTTACAGATGCAAATTTAGAGATGTTAGCAGTGCAGTAAATCTTTCAAAATGTCATTTAATCCATTTAGCCGTAGGGAATTGTATATGATGTCAGATTAATTAAAACCTTCATACAGACAGATACTGTGTAACGTCTATTTGGAGGCTATTCATCTTTTGGATAAGAAAACATTCAAAGAAAAACATTAAAAAATAATATTCAGAGCAGGCTGTTATGCGTGCTTGCGCGGTAGCTTGTTCCTGGGTTGTTTTGGTGAGTACAGTGGCATTAATGTTGTGGCAGAGCGTTAGAACTGAGATCCATTTATTTTGAAAGCTTTTTATAAATGCAACGAGATTTCCAGGATCCGATGAGTAATGCATGTTTATTACTCTCTGTGCAACTTTCTGAAAGAGCTTTTTGAGAAACAAACCAAAGTAATTAATGGTGCAAGGGAAGCAAAAATTGTCAGTCTTGTGGTCAGCAAATTGAAACGCAGGACAACTTCTTCATCTCATGTATGGTGATGTACCTTCTTTGTCTGTAGGAAAGCATGGGAAGTTAATCTGGGAATTTCAGCAATAGCCTGTTACCAGCTTGGCGTCTTATCTGTGGCTGTCATAAAATAATCACATCAGTATTTTGATTAAATGTAATGTGCCTGTTCACGTTCTTTCATAAAGTAATAGTGTTTGGGGATGTTCAGCGTAATCCTCTGGCAGATGAGTCCCTGAGCTGAAATAAGTCAGTGGAAGGAGTACATACCAGAGAGCTTCATCATTCAACTCTTTTTTTTTTTTTTTGTTATTTAAATGCAATTTATTTAAAGTTATTGTGAAGTTTAAGTACTGTCAGTGAAGTTTAAGTACTGTCAGATGTGCTAGAGCTCAGAAAAGTAGCTTTAGTATCTGTTTTATAAGAGCACTTGTAAGAGGCACAACAGCAGTTCAAAGTTGTGTGTGTTTGGCTCGCATACCTTAAACCTAGTTTGGAGACACCATACCTAAAAAAGACTCTTTGGACATGATGTACTTTCAGCCTTGGCCTCTTTGCTAAGGTTTCAGAAAGGGGACCTGCCGTGGTGGTGCATGCATGTACGTGTTGTTTGCTGGAACACTAAAACTGCTTACAAACAGACAAGCGTTATGAAATCGGACTGAATTGAAAGAAATTCCCCAGAGCTGGATCTCATTACTTGTCACGTAACTATCTTGACCCTTAAACTTGACCTTTCTCTATTTTGGATCTCTGGGTGCATGTGACATGCTTTTTCTGGCCGGCCTGTTGGGTTTGCTGTGTGTAGGCAGCAGTGGCTTTGCAACCCGCGAGGGTAGGAGTTATCTTTCTGTCTGACTTACTTTCTGTCTGTCTGCATGTGTGTTGGTTAAAAATAAAACACCAAGGTCACCAGAAGAATTTTTAAAAGATATTGTCACAATTTAAATAACACCAACTTTTCAAATCTTACAAAAACTTTAATTCTGTTCCTTCTGTATTTAACTTCTATGCTAGTAGATTTGCTACTCTGATGGTCTTCCTGGAGAAAAACACCTGTTTGCACATAATACTGGACATACTGTTTCTCTAGCTAGATGGTCAGTTGTTAGTAATTCTGTGCAGTGCAAAGGCAGACTGTAGCCATGGTGGTAACGTCCCAGGTTTGGGTTACCTCTGAATCTTACTGTCACTCTGGTGAATAATGTCCCAAAATATGAGTTATGGATAAGACACATCTTTGGGTGAGCAGCTAGTTAGTTGTTTCTGCTTTCTCCCTCCACAAGCTTCCAGGCAAATGTAAGTCATATAAACGAAGACTTTCAATTTAGCACTTCTTTGATAAGATACAAAACTGCTTCAGCTGAATGTCATTTTCCTACCACTGAAAATGAAACAATAGTTTAGACCCCTAAATTGCATTGTGAATGACAACTAATGGTGCCTTACAAAGTCTCTACGAGATTTGAATTGTTGACATATTGCTTTACTGACAGAGAAATGAAGACAGTGGTTGATAGCCTCAGTTTCGAATGCAGGTGGCTCAGGAGAGTCACTAGTTATATTCCTTATGTAAAAGAGCAGCCTCCGCTTTATAAAGCATCTTCCATACAGAAGTAGGTCCCGTTATGTCCGCAGTGAGTGGATTGCATTGAAGTAGTTGGCAGAATGGTGGAACAGCTTTATAAACTGAGCTCAAACCAGCAAAAACGACTCCATTTTAGCTTTGTTGTGTTCTCGATGCTCAGTTGCGGTCTGCCGAAAGGTGCTTTGTCTGGGCTGTGCTCTTAAGTGAGCCTGCAGCAACTCCCGGGGTAAGCAGTGCTGCGTGGCTGTTGGCCCAGAGGTTACATTCGGTGATTGCATGGGGCCCCCCAGAACAGCAAGGTGAGGATGACGAGAGCTGAGTATCTCCCAGATGGATGGGAGTCGTTTCTCCCTAGATGACAAATATTTTACAATGGTTATTTGTGATAGATGGCTGTGGATCTGATCCAGCATGACATGTCATGTACTGGATCTAGAGATACTGTGTTGATTTGAGAAGCAATTGATTAGGAGGACCTCGTTAATATCACTCAGTGCTGTATTTTGCCACTGGGATTTCTCGGGGTTCTGTGCGTGACTTCAGTGAGGCATTCTCCTGTCTTAGCTTTGTCCAAATACTTTGTGTAGAAAGCAAAGTACGAGAGTTGTGAGGTTTAACTTTGAACCCAAGGCAAACACTAGGAGCAATCTGACAGATGCCTTGAATGATTATTTATCACACAGGAAAATATGCTTCGGAATAGTTGTGGAATGCAAAACAGAAACAGATTTATCTTTCTCAGCAAATTAAACATTCTCCTTTGGTCTACAACCCAAAACCACAAAGCCAAGCTATATAATATTTTCATATGCTGAAAAGCCACTTTCTTTTCTCTCGCAAAGCAGTGATTTAAGGGGATGATGCTTGAAGGATTTTTGCTTCATGTGCTTTGTCTTCTAGTTCATTTTAATTCAACAAGAAAAAGCAAGCAGCTCTTTGCCTTACATTTAAAGATGAAAGAAAAGGGCGTGTACTTTTTTCATGCCTAAGATCTGAAATGAAATTTTACAATCACATTATTTCTCTTTCAAAAGCATCTTCTAAGGGCTCAAATAAATGGACTGCACAAGCCTTTCATGTTAGCATTGTGTATGCTGGCATAAAGGTGGTATGGAAAAATACAGCTTCAGGCCTAATGTGTTGAGTGACACAATCAAAGAATTGCTTTTTAACCTTGGGTAACTCATTTTGAATAAGTTCTCAATATTTACGTGCATGAGACTGACTTACACTAGACTTGTATTTCAGTATTTCCAGTTCATCCCAGTTCCTCCCATAGAGACAGCTGTCCTGAGAGGTGCCCAGGGAGGTGGATGAGGACTGAATTTTTCAGTCCTTTCAGAACTTGAGCCCATGACACTAGAACTGAATTTCACCCAATAGGTTGATAGATGTAGTTTGTGATACTGGATTTTGTTTTGTTCTTGTTTTGTTGTAATTATTTTGTTACTGATAGCATTTCAAACTCAAAGAACAAAAAAACCCAACCTTTGGGATTGTTTTTTCAAATTGAGCCTTGCATTTCACTACCCCTAGGAAAACTGTTTGCAACTGAGTGCACTCTGAATCAGACTAACAGTTAATTTGTTGAGATGAACAAGATATTGAGTATCATCATTGGCTTCCATTGGTGGTGGAATATAAAGGATTTGCTTAGGGTTTAAAACTGAAAGAAACAGCCTAGATCTTTTCAGTCCGTTCCCCAGCTCTTCCAGGAAACCAAATGGCATATTTGCTTTCAGAAATGCATCGAGAGCTATATTTAACTACTTGGGTTTCTTGCACCTGCTTCTCAGTAAAAGGCTGTTCCCAAACTTCCTCTGACAAGAGAATCCCCTTTTCATTTGCCAGCATTATCCTTTAATGGAGAAAGTTCTTCTGTCTCCGTGTGTTCACTGTCTACCTGTACTGAATCTATAGGTACTGTTTTGACTTGCCAAGCTATTGAACGAGTCAAGATCCTCTTCAAGATGAAGCTCTCCATTTCCTTCTAAACTTTCTCTGTACCTCTTCCAGGCTGAATTAACCTTTCCTAAATAAGGATGAACAGAATTTTATGCAATCTTCTGAATGACAAATCCATGACTTTGGCCGAGTGTAGCACTGATAGACTCCAGCTTTGGTTTCTTAAGGGTTAAAGGGTGAACATGCTCATTGCCCCCACTTCTGATTCCAGTAAACTGAAGCCAGATTTCTAGTTTCTTCCTCCTTACAAACTGGAAAGTGCCTTCTTCTCCAGCAAGAACAAAACAGGCCAGTGCCAGCATGATTATAGGAGAAATTCTGCTTTCTCTGAAGCTTTTGGGAAGACCAATGTTCAATACTAGTAAGTTCTGATTATGGCATTTTCATGTGCTCGAATAGTGCTAATTCTTACAGCAGAGATTCAAGTGTTTATACATAGCCCACCTTTAAGTATGGGCATTCAGGTCAATCAGAGGTTTTATGTGGCTGAGAATCTGCTACCAAGTTGGTCATAGCATAGTTCAGGAGGAGAAATGTCAGGAATGACATAAAATGCATTTAATTACCATTTTAATTTGATTTGGGAACATGCTTTTGAAGGGCATCTCCTGATCATCCTTATTTACTGTATTTTAGTTTGCACATCAGAGCAGACTTGGAGTGCACAAAGTGGATTTACAAAAGTAAACTGGATTGATGAAAGTAAATCCAGAGACGGACTCCAGAGACACGCCAGATGTACTGTAACCACTAATGCATGCTCAGTCCATGAGAGAAGACTGAAGTTAGTCCAAAATACCCCCTCTGAATCATACATAATGTGGATGTCAGGTGCTCGGCACCATCTGTTTTGCTCTACAAATCTGCTGTAACAGGTGATCCAACTTGCTAACGTAAGCACAAATTCAGTGTGTCTTAGGCCAGGAGAAAGGACAATTTAATGGCGTTCCCCTCTAGCTTATTCTGTGAGCTGTGGGACAAGAAGAGTCTTTTAATTCTGTTTGTGCCAAGTTACTGCAGTAAAACTAGTGAAAATTATACTTAATTACCTTCCACCATTCTTCCTGCATTTTTGCAAAACATCTGAAAAATAGATTGCTTTCACTTTGGCACTTGATGTAGGTTCAAGGATAACTTCTGATTTTCAGGTTGCATGTTAATATTCAGAATACTCGCGTGTGCTAGGTGTTTTCAGTCTGCACAGAAGACGATCTTGCAGATCTATTCTCTTAAATTTTATTAAGGGACCTACTGTAGTCGTATGAAGAAGTGTGGTATTGGGGATTCGAGTCTAGAAATGTACTTCAAAACCTACCAATGGCTGTACTGGGTCTAAGAAAAAAAAAATCCAGAAAAAAATGCCCTAAAAAGCCCCATATGCTGTCTATGGCAGGGGCTGATAACTGATGCATAGAGGAGATGGAAGAAAAAGGCAGAAAAATAGTGATATTTTTCCAAAACACTCCTCCAGACTCAAGCAATTTGTGGTTTGGGATTTCCTGATCAAAAGGTGATGTTTATGTTTAATAGCCCTTTATTATTTTCCTTCATTACTATGTCAAGTAACAGTTTGAACTCAACCATTTACAACGTCCAGTGGCAATAAGTTGCACAGCTCACTGTACTAATAGGATTATAGCAGTCAAGCAGTAATAGTAATGGTAATCTAGCTCTATGTTGAAAATAATGTATAAAATGTTCTGGTAAAATACTGAAATACTGATTGCATTTATAGCTTTATAAATGCTAAAAAAAAAAAAAAGCTAAATAAAGGAGTTGGATCCTGCATACGTATGGCTCAGCCACTGATGGATGGATGGATTACTGCAGCTACACTGTGTGTTTCTGGGAAAGAAGGGAAGACAGGTGTGACGTGCTTTTCTTTTGAAAACACAATGAAAAAATCAAATGCAAAGACTGATCATCCTTTTACTGATGCTGATTTATTAATCCTATTATTATGGTTATTGGTTATGCTCATTTAGATTAATAGTATTCTGGTTGCCGTTAGTATTTCATAGCTATTGGTACTTCCAAAGGCTAAACTTCACATGGTCTCATGCACGTATTGTTCAAGTATTTTTTTGCTCATTTTTTTAACTCAATCCCTCTCAAATTGTGTTCAATTGTTTTCTATTTTTATTGGCTTGCTTCACATAGCTGTAGGTTCTTCAGGAAGCAAGTGCCTCCATATTTCCCAACGAAACCCCATGCTCTCATACCCTGATTATTGAACTTGAATTATTTTAAATCCTGAATCATCCCCTGCAGGAAAACTTCTCACTTGCCTCATATATGGTTTCCAATGTAAATGGTTGAGTAGGGAAAATAGAGAAAATCTTGTTGTTCTTGATCCTGCATGTTGCAGAGGGGAGTTGAGCAGTCATGAAATGGTCCGTGTAACCATTCAGCACCTGAAAATGTGTCACCAAGGGCAGAGGCACAACCCAGAGGAGCAGATTCTGCTGCAGTGACGGCTTGGGGATTCTTGTGAGCCATGCATTGCAGAGAAGGAAAACTGGCGTTTCTGCAGGAGGACGTGCTGCCCGCATGTCTGGTTGCTGTCCCTAATCATTTTCACACACGTCTTGTTCAAGTATTCATCAGCGTTCAAGATCTTCATCTGCATTGGGTATTGTCTCGGGTTTCCACAGGCATCTGCATGAAATGTGGGTTGATGCTTGTCTTTGTAGCATCTGTGCCGCATGTTGCAGTCTGTTACGTTCTGTGAAGGGAATGCGTGTGCCCATGCGAGTCTTGGACTCTGGAATGCTGTATTATCTATTACTGAATAAAAAACATAGAAGAAAACCTGACTGTTCACATCAACAATTAATGGAATTACCATGACTTCCTTATTACTAGAGTAATAGCTGTAGATTTACCAAGGGTGGGTGCATTTTTCATCAATGGAAAGCCATTCACTATTAAAAAATGTGCTGCACCCTCTTGTTAAATAGGTCAATGAAAAAGATCCAGTCAGTTAAGAAAAATGGAGCAGTACATCAAACTTCAATGAGTAATAAGGAATTTCTCACAACGGAACAGATTATGCATTGAGACCACAAGAAAAAGTGGGATCTCCACCTGTAGAAATCCCAGATCAGAGAAGTTACAGGGCTTAGTCAAGGGTAACTAGAAGAGGCTGTGGGGAATACCCATACTACCTGCATTTCATTCTTCAGGCTAAGTATAGCTGTATAAAAAGTGGATTCATAGACAGGCAGCAGGAGAATGCACTTAAGAACATTTTCTTAAGCAGTAAGAGTTCCTAATTTAGGCACCTAATATTACGTGGTGCAGATGCTGTGACTTGTGTTAATGAATGATTAAATTGTCCCTTCCAGCCTTAGTAAGACTATCGCTTAAGAAGCGCCGTGCTGTGGCAGAAGTGAGGCACTTAGATGAAGCCTCTTTAGGAAATATAGAGTCTGAATGAATAAAAAGAGTTAATTCCACTTACACTTTGGGGACATCTGCATTGGAAAAGAGGAAAATACATTCTTGAAATTGAATTGGCAACTCTGTATTAGCTGACTGGGATTAAAATAGCAACAAAGGCAAGTCAGTTGGATTTATAATTTGAATGGATACATAGAAAAAAATCTTCATTCAGAGTCAGTTTACTTCATCTTTATAAAACGTACAAGTTTTAGAAGAGAAGTGGCATGTTGGTCATGCAGCGCTGGGCCAGAGCCGGGTTCGCAGTGGGGAGCTGCCAGCAGACCCCGTGGTGCTCGGGGTGGTACGTAGGGAGTAAACCCACGAGGTTTTTTTTTTTTTTGATAGGCTGGTGGAATCACAGAACCCAGTTTTCAGTTACCCCAGTCGCACCAGCAAAGCAGACTGCTGCAGGAAGGTGTGTAGCAGTCATGAACTGACTGCCGGTACTGAACTGGGTCCTCACGACAGCCCTTAGCCTGGGTTTTAGATAGGAAGCGAAAGCATTACCCTGGCTTCTTCCAGCTCATGCAATTAAGTCCTTAATGTACCCCTCATAAACAGCAGCATTCTTTACCTCTGTCTGAAGCTGCATCTTCATACTTGACGTAGCTGCCACGTTTTATCCCCAGAGATTCTGCATTTCAGTGCAAGATCAAATAGAAGGCATTAAAAAGTAACCTATATTGTTCTAGTCATTCGTTGCTGGTAAAAAGAAATATTGTAAGGAATCACCTTTAAAGGTATCTGTGGTGATGGTGCAGCACGCTGGTCAGATTTGTATGCTCAGATACTACTTCTTTTGCATCTGATGTACTTGATACTTAAGAACACAGGAGTGCATAATCCCCCCCTTGCTGTGCATCGAGCGTGTTGCCAGTGAAACGATGGGCCGGGTTCTCTGGTGCCGGGTGGTAAAAGGTCATTGCCCAGTGATGCTAAAAGGGTGTAAATGAGAGAAGAATAGGATCTACATCTCTGGAAGAACAAGGAAGTACTTACGTCGGGAAGATTTGCTTGACAATATCCTAAAATTTTCCCATTCTCAGATAGACATGGGAGAGTCCAGAAGCTGGCTAATATTTTACAAATTTCTAACGCAAATATTTTTTTGAAGATAGCGACATGATTAGACTCATAAACTCATTAAAATGCACATTTCTTTGTGACCACGGTGCTCCCCAGAACTAAAGCGAGCGATGTTTTATTTTCCTGTTGCTAGCTCTTGGACATTTCTGTTAAGTGGACCATCCAGGATGACTCGCCCCCCAGGTATCCCCATTACGACCCAGGGACATCTCGTCAGCTGCTGTGTGACCAGTGCCCTCCTGGGAGCTACGTAAAGCAGCACTGCACAGCCACCAGCCCGACGCAGTGTGCCCCGTGCCCGGATCAGTACTACGCCGACGAGTGGAACAGCAACGACGAGTGCCAGTACTGCAGCGCCGTTTGCAAAGAGCTGCAGTACGTCAAGCAGGAGTGCACCAGCACGAAGAACCGCGTCTGCGAGTGCGTCGAAGGCAGATACCTGGAGCTTGAGTTTTGTTTAAAGCACACGGAGTGTCCTCCTGGATTTGGCGTTGCACAGCCAGGTAGGTATCACTTGTCAATACGCACAGACTTAATTAGAGCTCTACCGCACGTCGACAACTCGTGGCAGTTACAAGATTAGGAAAGAGGCTCGTCCAAATGAAATTACAGGACAGTAAATTGTAAAGCCAATTGAACCTGTTCCTAGTCTGCATCATTTGGACTGTAGCCAAAGGAACATTTCTCAGTGGAATACCCTGCTCCTACTGTAATATATAACTTAATGGCAGTAGCAAATGTAGCAAATTGCACTCTAATGAGAAACATGACGGATTGCCTCTTTTAAAGGAACATTATCTGGAATGTAGTATTTGTGTGTGTGATAAATAATAATGTTTTTCATTTTGAAATCTGCTGTTTCAAGCAACTGTATGTCTTGACAAACACCAGGAACACTACGTGTTTGACACCAAGTGTGTAATTATAACAATATTAATATAGCTCTAGCATCACAGCAATATGTGGTAATAATTAATTACCAGCATCCTAAGTGGAACTCTTAGGGAAACTGTTACTATTATCAAACAAACAATCGTTTCTTTGTCAAGCAGGCCGGCATTGTGCTGTATGTCTGGTAGGGATTTAGAGCGAAGCGACGCTTATCAGTAGAGTGTATTCTTCATTGAAGACAACATAAATGGTTAAACCAATAATAAGTTCTACTCTCAAAACAAAATACATCAATTATCATTTGGCAAATGTCATGGCCCAGTTTAGCTCCAGTATTTAATACAGCCTGAAAGAATTGTAAACTGTCATTGTACCAGAGATTGATAACTGCTTGGAGAAGAGCACTGAGGAGGGGAATACAGAAAATCAAAGCATCTCAAACACATACCCGTAGGCAACCAATCTCCAGACTACAGCATTACTTCCCTAGGAATTACTGATACACAGTGAGACACACTAGGGCTGGCCCGTACATTTTAGAGCTATGCTGAATGACAGGTCGGGAGTCCTTTCTCGTGTTATGAACATCTCATTGGAGAATGACTTTGATGTAAGGAGTAATGTCACTGCTGTAGCTGCTCACTATTCCCCTAGTAATTGGTTAACTAAGCACTACCCCGATGCGCTTGCCACTGCTAAGCATTTCCACTGGCAGCTACTGCATTTCCATATTATAAACCTTCATTAACCTAAATCATTATATCCAGGGGCTTGGGTTAATGAGGTTCCACCGTACCTCAGCAGCAAGTCAAAAGGGGACAGAAACAAAGTTCTCAGAAAGCCTATTTGGGAAGTAAAAAAAGAAGTATAAATTCTGTGAGCAACCAGCCTGCTGCATCCCTGTGAGCACAGGGAAACTCTAGCAGACAAATTCGAATCCCTCAGTTCAGAATGAAACAAACTTTGGAAGAAGATAAATTGTTGAATCGTGTAATTTATTGGAAAGTTGGTTTCCAGAAGACCATCAGAATGAACCAGCTAAACCCAAGCAGACCTCAAACAAGGAATGAAAACATTGTAAAAATAATTGCGTCCCCCTGTGTCAATAGTCAGGTTTTGAGGTGGGGCATCGACTAAGAACTTAATAAGCGTGGACCATACTGTCTTCCCGCTTTCTGCCATATGATAGCCTTGAACTTTGTAACTGTGTAAATTCAGGTGAAATAAAACCTAAGTGTAGAAAAATACACTTCCACTGCCACACAGGGAGATGGTGTGGTCCAGTGTCTCATTCAAAGCTTAAAGCATTAGAAATCTGTTTCCCAATGCCGGTTGCTCATGATTTTGTTGGGCAGATCACTTTACTCTGGTAGTCCCCTTTTGTGAGTGTAGATTAAGATTTTGTTCCTTTCTGCTGCAGCTGGCCCTGTACGTGGCAGAGTTTTTAGCAGCAACGGGCTGGGGAAGCAGCGCGGCTCCGAGGCTGCGCTATCTCCCCGGCGGCGGCTGCGGCTTCCCCGGGGAGAACGGGGGATTCCAGGTGAGATGGAGGGAGCGGCAGACGGGCAGCCGGGCTGCGGCCGTTTGTGCCCCGAACAAGAGAGGCCAGATAAGCAGAGAAGAAGAAGCTGGGAAAGCTTGGAGGTGACTTTATGCTGAACCCTGAGAACGCTGATGGATTACCCGGTGTATTTCCCTCTTGCGCCACAAAAGTTATACGGGAAGATCTGAGCAGAACGACGTACCGTTTGCAGGGACTCTCCTTTCTTCCCCTTCCTCGCTGCTGGAACACAGCAGCAGCGTGTCTGTAGCAGGAGAAGCTGCTAGAAATTCAGACTTCTCAGCAAAGCTAATTGCTGCCCGCTCAGGTGCGGGTGTTGGCTGGAGTTTCGTACGGCCCAGGCAGCACACATTGTGCAAGAAAACGCAAGGGCGGACGCTGCTGCTGCGGGTTGGGCGCTGGCTGGGAAAGCGGAGGATTTGGGGGGTTTGGCAATATACAGGGTCTCTGATTTTCAGATGCACAACTAAAAAAATCTCCTTTGTTTTCATTGCTGTCTGATGAAAGAAGTGCTAGGTTGGGTGTATGCAAGTATTGTTCTTTATTTCACGGCTGGTTGAAAACTGGAGATTCGTACTCTTTTTCTCTAAGGAAATGCCTAAAATAAATAAAATTTACTTAAAAGCTAGCATTAAAATAAGCATCCACATGTAAATACTTCCAAAATACACTAGATGGAGGCATTTTCTTATTCAAATATAATTGCCAATTATTTCCAAGGAATTTTAAGCATGTGCTGAAGTTCATGTTCAATAATGCGATATTAGATAGTAGACTTTAGGCACTTGCTTAAACGTTGGCTGAATAAAGATGAATTAAGAGTGAATATAAAGCATTTATTGGTGCTGTTATTTTCCTGCCACTGGTGGTTAGACTGTTTGCATTGTTTCAGATTCCATGCACTAATTTTCTTCCTCCTTGTCAATGTGATAGAACCACATATTGTCATTCTCTCGTTGTATCATATATTTGATTCTAAAGTAAAACTGTTCTTTATAAAAGTAAAACACCAAGCAAAACATATGTAGGTATATTAAATATTTTTGCTATATTGGATGATCTACTTTCTTTGCTTTAAAGAATATTTTATTCAAGCCCAGAAAAAACTTCAAAAATGTTACTGAAATTCTATTTTCCTGTATAATTTAATATTTGATCAAGGAAAGTACTTTTCAGAGGGTCTTTAGTTGATATTTTCTTGGGTTATATTTTTAGCTACAACTAAAGTAACCCATTCGAGTAAGGTTCTGGGCAGATATTACAATTTAGAGCAGTTTCTTGTGCCATTTAATTATTTTACAAAATATTTGTATAGTCGGCGGATGAAGGTCAGACATCATTTAATGTCTGAATAGACTCAAGTAGTTACTGATTTAAAGATATTACTTTATGAAATTACTGATTTAATCAGTAATTACTGATTTTAAAGTTGGTAACAGGTGTATGTAAGAGTACTATTTACTCTATTACTCCAGCAGGAACATCATTCTCTTAAAGAATCATTTTTGTTTTTAAAAATTAAAGTGGTTTGGGTTTTTTTTTCTAAATGTGATTCCTTCATAGATCAGAAATGTGAAAAGCAGAAGCATGACAATTTTGGGAGGAATATTTTCTTTTATTTTTGTATTCTAGCGTTTTTTTCCCAGTTGAGGTTATATGTAATTGGAGGCATTGTTTTCCTGTTTCCACAGGTACCCCTGAGAGTGACACTGTATGTAAGAGATGTCCAGAAGGATTTTTCTCAAATGAAACATCATCCAAAGCAGCCTGTCTAAAGCACACAAACTGTAGTGCGCTGGGTTTCAAAATAGCATTGAAGGGAAATGCAGTTCGTGACAACGTCTGTCAGGAAAATACAGATACGGCGCCTCAAAAATGTGGAATAGGTATGTATCATATTAAGGAAGAGTGTTCTGGAAACATGCCTTTAATTACAGTTAAAATTAATCTATCAGCAGTTATGATAAAAATATCTAGCTTGTTAGCCATTTGCCTGCTATGGTGATGGCCACAGTAGAGTTTTAATTAATGTAGGTGAGACCAAATGGAACTCAAGCACAGAGAGCAACAGCACTATAAAGACCACTTCTTAGTTTGGTTTTTAAGCATTTTTTTATCACCCTTGCTTCTTGCTTTTTTTTTTTTTTTCCAGAGACAAGCAGGGTAACAGGGATCAGAACAATTGACATATTCTTTTTCTCTTTCTTATTTCAGATGTCACCCTGTGCGAGGAGGCTTTCTTCAAGTTTGCCGTTCCTACTTTCCTCACACCTAACTGGCTGAACATGATAGCAGAGAGTTTGCCTGGGACGAGGGTTAGCACAGAAAATATCGAAAGGATCAAACAAAGGCACGGTACTCAAGAGCAGACCTTCCAGCTTATGAAATTATGGAAGCAGCAAAACAAAGAACAGGATATGGTCAAGAAGATTATTCAAGGTACCTTATTTTGATAGCACATGTATTAAAAGCAACCTTCTAAATGGCATTTTAAAAATCGCTTGGAATCAAATGCCTCCTGGTGATGTGTTATGCTCTCAGGAGGATCTGAGAGCTTAACAGATTTGTTGATGCAGTAAGCAGAGTGAAGTCGAGGGGAAGCAGGAAGAGAATTCGGCTTCTCCTGCTCAGTTGAGGACTGAATTCTTCCCAGACTTGCAGCCCCCCAGGGAGCGTGTGTGGTGTCACAGCCAAGATCCCCTTTTGAGACTGCACAACATATGAAGAATTTTGATCAAGTGGGGAAAATGTTTCCCACTGTTATATCTGAGCAGTGGCTGTTGAGGTTAGAAGGAGCTGGATGCCTGCAACTGAGAGTGCAATTAGTTTTCTATAAAGTGGAGACTGACAGCTCAGACTAGGACATCTGTTCACGGAATAGGGACGCATGGGAGTGAGGAACACACAGATAGGCTTTCCCTTCTTTTTCCCTTACGGTACCTATTTGTCATGCCAATTCACCACTTTGTGCCGAATCTGCCAAGACAAATGTCAAAGGTGAAACAGTGCTGCAATGTTAACACCAAGGTTTTTATGAGAGTCAGGCCAACTCTTTTCATGTAAGCCACCATCAACAACCGCCACATTCCAACAACCTTTGGTCCACTCAGAATAGATTTGAAAAATGCTGCAGAAATATTTTTTCCCCTCTCCTTTTTAGTATGTATGCTTATGTCAGACTGTGAAGTATCCAGAATACTTCAAAAACCAAAATGACTGTTTTAGCAAAGCTTGCCCAGACATTTCTGTAGAAGAGCAAAATTTTCATTCATTGGAACCAGTGATAGGTGTCCTGTCACATACACAGAACATTTTACAGGACAGATGAAACAAGCATATAGCAATAAATACTTGCTATGAAGTTTGTTTGTAATTTGGGGCTGTTTGTATTTGCAAAGTTAATTAAATTCTTAAGTGCATTTCATAATTGGAGCCTAAAAAAAAGCATCGCTGAGAGGATTATTTGAAATGAAGTAAAAAAAAAAAAATGGGGAAGGAATATTCACCTTGAAATTCTGGAAGTTTTTTTGCAGGCCATGGTAAAGTTGTAATGCATTGTACTTACCTCTCTTTTCACTTTCTATAGATATCGACTTTTGCGAAAATAATGTCTTAAAGCACGTCGGCCACCTGAACCTCACCTTTGAACATCTCAACACACTGATGGCAAGCTTACCAGGCAAGAAAGTGGGAAAAGAAGATATCGAGAGCACAATGAAACTATGTCAACCTACAGAGCAAGTTCTGAAGCTTCTCAATCTGTGGAGAATAAAGAATGGTGACCAAGACACCATTAAAGGTTTAATGTATGGACTGAAGCACTTGAAAACATACCACTTTCCGAAACGAACCATCCACAGTCTGAAGAAGGTGATTAAGTTTCTTCACAGATTTACAATGTATAGATTACACCAGAAACTTCTTTTAGAAATGATAGGGAACCAACTTAAATTAGTGAAAGTACGATGTGTCTAATTCAAGATATTTTTCATTCTCCACTGACTATTTTTCCCTAATTACTGCCAGCAGTAATTAAACTGGAACGTTGTTTCCCTACGTTATGTCTTACTATTTATAGAAATGCCTGACTGGAATAGCTCTAAGTCTTTTGCAGTGTTTTTGGAGTTGTTTTTTTTTTTTTTTTTTTTTTTTTTTTTTTTTTTTTTTTTTTAATAAAATCACTTTTGTAAAAGCTATTAACCTGTTGGTAACACTAAGAGCCTGATTCTGCATTTTTGCACATTCGGAGTTGAAAAGCCCCACTATAGTCACTAAATGAGAAAAGAATGCCGGACCAGGCTCTACTACAGTATTTGCTATTTATATTCTTTGAGGAATAAACATTTTTGTTGTACATATTTATTAAGTTAAATGGAAATTGTATGAGACTGAATTTTAGGAAGAGAAATGAAAAGCACACTGTATATTTTCTAGTTAAACAAAAATGATCCCATATATTTTTCTGGTAAAATTTTGTAGCATGCTCCAAGAGTTATTAATTTCTTTACATTTTGTATTTAAAAAAGTATTATTGCTTAGTTTTATTTGTATAAGTTGTGGTATCTTTTGGTAGGGATGTTTTAATTTATCCAATGATTTTAACTCAAATACGGTGAAAATATAGCGTAAGTGACCTGAATATTTAAATATTCTGTGAGGAAGTGAATGTACCATATTTAAGAAGCTGGATTTTTATATAGAATTTCATAATCTTATTTTATAAAACAATTAAATTTTTCAGTTTACTTTTTGACTGGTGTTTTACTCCTGACTCTGAAGTAGGAACTAATAACAAAGACAGACCATATGGATTTTGCACCTTATCTTGGGCTTGGCTCCCTGCTACTCCCTGTCTGGTCTGGTAGTTAATACATGAGCCAAGTAAATATTGACCAGCACTGGATTTTCATGGTCACTGCACAGGTGTAAAAGAAGGTAAAAAGCATTAAAGGTTCTTCTTCAGAGGGCCCAGGCGGTTGCCATACGACCGATTACAACTCCATAGACGCATTTGGCCCAGCATCGCTCTTGGCCCGGTGTCATTCTTGGAGAGCTCACAACCTTTGCCCTAACCACAGCTTGTAATTTCATGGAGGAAAGATGATGCATGGCCCTGACGCGCTTGGAAAGCCTCACATATTGCCACTGTGTTTAAAGGAAGGGAGCACGGAGAGGTCACATAAAAAAAAAAGCCAATCATTTACCATTGCCCTCAGCTACCGAATGAGGCACCTGCGAAGAGATGGGCCCCCAAAAAAGGGAACAGGGAGTGTATGAGTGCTGCTATCAAAAGCACACATAATTTTAAGGACCAGGGATCATTCACAGCGCAAGCCAGAGGCTTCGGTGGCTGCAGAGAGAAACTGTACTCGTTTTTTTCTTTAAATCATGCGAACAGAGCTTGAGTATTCAACGTACTCTTTTCCCTTGTGTAAAGGAAGGAAAAGCCATCAGCATTTAACTTTGTATGACAAATATTCCTCTATTACAGATGAGAGGATCTTAAGCAAAGAATGAGAAAGAGATTCCTGGTAGATATGATAGGTGCTCATCAGAAGTGCTGTCCTTACAGAGAGTACAAATGAGACATATTGCTTTAAAATCTTTGAGTTTCATTTTTCACTGAATTCTCACATCACTTTTTATATCAAAAGGAATAAACTCCCTTTTATATTTCACATGCTATGTATTAGCATCTCATTTATCAGTGTAGCTGGGAAATGGTGCTGAACACACACAAAAAATCCCTAGATTTGTGGTGATTAATTTGAAATAATTTACATACTTTTACAACAGGAACTGTTTTCACCTGTAATTAAAAGATCATAACAACCGAGTCTCAAATTTGCAGAAGAGACCAGATGTTTCCATGACTCTGCCAGGTGTGGAGGTTTGGGGTGATTTCCCACCTTAATCCTTTCGACGTTAGCTCTGTTTAATACAAGGATTTAGCAACTGGTAGTATAGTTATAGTATCAAGTAGTAATATAGTTTAAAAATGCAGCAGTGGAATCACTTTAACAGAGCTATTGGCTGGAGAAAAGCACAGTTGCTTCTTGGTACCTGGTACTGTTTTTAATTTATACATTTATACTTCCACATTCCAACTAATTATATGTAACTCCCATTGTAAATAATACTAAGTGTTTGTGGTCCTTCATGAATGACACCACTGAAGAAGGTGCTCAGAGCCACAGAGTGTAGTTTATGCTATAGCTACCATGTGAACATGCTATACTTCCCTACAGGAGGGTATAGCCTTGACTGCATTTCCTGGGAAACTTTAGCATTAAACTATTATTACCTGTGCCTTTTAAAATAGGATTTTTTTGTTTCCTAAACATAAGGTTACACCTGTTTAATGAATTATACCTGTTAAAGCTGTTTCAGCTAACCAGGTGCCCACGCTCAGGCAGACGCTTCTCAGCCAGTTTATGCCTCATTTATCAATTCAGCTTTGCTCAGCTGGAAGGAATCGAACACTTCATGTCCTGAGCAGGCGACACTTAAACCGTATTCCCTTCCCCAAAGAGCCTCCAGCCCAAAATAGCCAAGACAAACAAAAGCGAGACCCAGGATAATGAGGGAGAGGGTGAGGCAAACAGAAAGTGGGAGGATTGCTTGGAAAAAATGTGGGTTTGGGGTGGTAGTTTGTTTTTCAGGGAAGGCTGCAGAGGAAAGAGGAGTTGTGTGGCGGGCAGCAGGTGGGAGAGGGGTCCCCGTGTCTGGGGAGGGGCAGAGGTGGGGGAAGGAGGGAGGCGTGAGGGCTGGGGACAACCAGCCAGAGCCGGGCCTTGGGGGTGACCCCAAGAGGGATGCCGTGCCCGGGGTACCCTGACCTGCCGGGGTACCAGCGCCTGCCCTCCTCCCGGCCTGGCTGTGGACCAGACCCAGGGGAAGGCAAACGTTTTGCCAGCCCCCGGCTAGCGGTGAGGCCGCCCCTGCCCTGGGGTGGAAAGGAGGAGAGGAACGGGGAGGAGAGAGGAGCGCGCTGCCTGCGCTGCCTCTGCTGCCCCTGGGCAGGGGCAGGGTCTGTCCTGCCGTCTTGGCTTCTCCTTCGCTGAGAAAAAGGAAAAGCAGTTGCAGAAATATTTGAGGGAGCCAGTGAGATGGGCTTTAAGGCAGGTTCTTCAGCTGTCGTCTGTCCAGCCGTGCTCTCAAAGAGTGGAAACAACCCTCAGTTATCAAAAACTACCAGGGGTTTAAAGCAGAACCTTACGATTTCAAAATCTTCTACGACTCTGGTTTTTAGACGTTTTTTAATACGCACTTGTCCTCCAGTGAGGCAGTCTCTTGGGTCCCAGAAAATACACCATGTTTTGGAGTAGGAGAGAATTAAGGAAGAAACTAGATATTAAGCTCTTTAATCATCTTTTTTTACTCTGTGCACGTCACCAAGCAAAATAGATTCCTGGTCCCTGACTGTCACTCATGGATGCTCTCATAGTAAAATTACCAATCAATAGTATAGTCTGCTATAGACAGAACATTTTAAAAATAAAGCCAGGTACTAGATAGCTTTTTAAAAGTTTTGAGAGCTGGATAACGAATGTTCAAAGAATAGATTAGGAATGCGCACGTCTGTAACCGAACACCACACGCACACACTCTTGCACACGCTCACACTCACACCCCCCACACACCCTGAATACAACTTGTGCTGGGAGCTTCGACAGGCTGTGGTGATGAACTCAATTCAACCAAACCCTTCATCGCCCTCAGACACCCATCCTGCCCGTCCTGGCACGGGTCAACATTGCCACCTCCAAGGCACAGGTTTGCTTGTGAATCACCTCCAAAGTGCCCAAATTTTCAGCCTTAAAATAATTCGAAACTGTGGCTCAGAAACAAGCAAATATTTATAGAAAAAAAGAACCAGCAGTTTCTGCAGACTATCAGAAACTATTCAATTTTGGACAAATGTCAAATATAGGAAATACCTACCCTCCAAAATATTTCTTTTTTGAAATAATGTGAAGAAGCAAAAAAAAAGGACAAAAATAACTGAAAAAAAAGAGTTTTACGTTTTTCTTCCTTCACCTTAATTAGATGGTAGAACCAATATTGGCAATAAGCTCAGTAGTGAGGAGGGATAAAAATATGTACAAAGCTAAGGTTGTAGCTGTTGTGTAAGTGACTATTCCCAGCGGAGTCGAAGGACAAATCTATGGGAAAGGGCTAGAAGAATGGACCCAGAATTGCAATGTATTGAGTAACTCTATTTTTATATTAGAGTTTTGAACTGAACAAAACTTGAGACAAAGTAAAGCAGGTGAACGCAATGCGAACGTAGTTTATTCCACTCATCATCATCCTCATCCCTTGTATTTATGGCAAGTTTGCGTAGGATTCCTCTGTTTGTCTTTTCGCATTTAAAAAAAGTTCTTTCATACTACCAGGCTATTTTTTTAAAATCATCCTGACCTTTAGTACCTAGGAGGTTATTTAAAAGGAACCACATGATGAAAGATTGTGGCTTTGGCAATATTTCTTATATGAAGAGGACAGGGCGTGGTTCAATAACGGTGAGGACAGAACTTTCAGGAGAACATTTTTCTCCTTTTTTTATTTATCGAAGAAGGAAAGTCTCCATCCACTTTTAAATAAATAAATAAACTTTCTGGCAACTAGGACATACATCATTCTGGATGTGCAGAACTTTGTCAGCACACAAAAAAAGATATCTGTCTATTGATAGTGTTGATGGTTTGGTGTTTGTGTTGCGCTTCAGCTCTGCTTATGGCACTTAAGATGAGTGAAATGATACATCCTAAAGGATGATTAGTCCCATGTAATGCAACGGAAACTCAGTAAGAGATGGATCAGGTCTTTGCGTTCTTTGAAGGGGAGAGACAGAGCTGTCAAAGACCTCGGTGCCTAAATATCAGCAGGCTTGCAGGAACCTCTCTCTCCTGGCTGGAGTTAGGGAAGACTAACATAGACTCACGTTTTCGGGAAGGGTGTCCACACTCCGGAGATGTGTCAATGCTTGAAGAAGGGTGTGTTTTTTGGATTGCAACAAAATAAGCTGAGAGTGGCTGGCAGGCCAGTGAAGCCGGCGGGAAACTGGGCTATTCCCGGCTCCGAGAGGTAGAGAAGAGCAGCTTGGTTTTACACCGCGTGGGTTGGGAGCCAGTACAGAGATACAAGGAATGGGTAGTTACTGCTCTTGAGACGTGTTTTTGAAAGTCTAAGAAGACTGACATGCTGAAACCTCAAGAAGCCAGAGGAACGATGAAGGAAAATTACACTTTGTGCCTCAAAATCAGACTTTCTCCCTTGAAACAATCACAAAACCCAAGTACTCAGGAAATAAGAGATTTCTTTGGCAGCTAATGACGAAGACCCCGTAGCAGTATTTGGGTGATTTTGTGTTGACAGAGGATGCTCACAGGCAAGCGATGTCAGCACCAAAGCAATTCAATGCCCAGCTGCAGAAGTGGTGACCCAGTGATGCTCCCAGGCTCTCTCTGTACCCTGCAGGAACTTGGACATTTTAAACTCAGCACCACCAAGGAAACTGCTGCAAAGGTCTGTGTGCTGAAACTGGGTCCCTCCCTCCCCACCCCATCACTGGCTTAGGTGTCTCTCTGAAACATGTTCTCGTAGCCTGGCTCTCCCTCATGGTGCAATCCACCCAAGTAATCCCTTTGGGTGCAGACAATTGCTTCACTTTCCTGCCGCACCTGGAGCCGCTGGTGCCCACCTCTCCTTGCCCAACAGCACACACATGGGCAGGGAGGTGGC